TATATATATATATATATATATATATATATTTAACAACGTATGACCCTCCCCTCTTAAGTGTTAAGTCATTTAAACAAGTGGAATAACATGCATATTTACATATGTCCATTTACTGTATTCAATTTCTTTTATTTGGTGATATACCGGTATATATTTTTTGGGGGAATAGAAAATGGCAGGCCATACTATGCCAGCACTTGGTATAGAATCGATACCAAGTGCCATTTATCTATACAATAGATAAAAATAAATCAACGTAGGCTCGAAAGCAGAGGAAGTTCCCCAAAGTGCGAAATGGCACGAGAATTTTTTTTTTCTCGCATGCCCAGTGTCTCGCCTGACTTCCCTTTTTTTTAAGCCGCAGAAAACAATTTGGTCATTCTTCTCTCACGCACACACACTATGTCGATGCTGGGCATGGGGTGGGTGACGGTTTGACTGGTAACATTAGATTAAAAACTAGGAACGTCCCTGCTCTGCATCGAAACATTGTGTCTGCCTGCGTTCGTGTACTTGTATGTGGACAAGTGGTGGGAGGGGTTGTTTTTGAAGTACAGTAGTTCGAGTTGCTTTTTTGTATAAAAATCGCGTTTGGTTGAACAGTTACAGTAATTCCTTAATACCACTAACGATAATGAAATTAATTTGTGAACATTTTTGTCTGTCAGCAACAATATGCCAAACACTCTACTGGCATAAAATCACATTTATAACTTTTTAAACTTGAAAATTGCCGCGTGACGTCATCTGATTAGGACTCGTTTTCCAGCTGGGTGAACGGCCGATACCGGCGGGTGTGCGCGAGGCCCTGGCAAAGGAATATGACGAAGGGCTAATGACGAAAAAGAAACAAGGTTGGCTCGCTTTAATCTTAGAATTCTGCCTTGATATTGCGAGTTCTGACAATAACGTCAGAATTCTGAGGTCAAAGTGAGAATTCTCACTTCAAAGTCAGAAGTCTGTCTGTCTCCTGTCGAAGATGGTTTCTTTTCGTGTGTCGGCCGCATGTTTGGGCTGTCTGTTGTTGCCCAGCGTCTTCTGGTACTTGATCTTCGAACAGAGGTTTGTTGAAAGGGGAAGGGGGCGAGGGTCCAATTCAGCAAAATAATGGCAACTTTGCCAAAAACGCCTGAAAAAAAAGGTGCACCCAAAGTAAATTTGTAGCCGTTCTTGAACCATTTGGAGTATCAGCATAGTTTTGGTCTCTTTATGAAATATTTCAAATGTTATCATTTTGAATATCTCCCCCGCCCTCCCAACAGTCAGAATCTGTGTAAGTGCTCCTGTCACTGAACTATGGATGTTTGAAAACAGAAAGAAAAGGCGAATCTTAGGTTCGTCTCATTTCTTTTCACAAACTCTGCCTTGAAAATGAATTTAGAATGTTGATTAGGACTTGAAAACACGACAGGATCAAAGCTTGAGGTCACCCCAAGTTCCAGTTCAAATTTGACAATTGTAAAATGTTGGGCGCCATTCAAATCTCCAGAAACTCAGATTTTAAAAGATGTATAACATGTTCACACATGACAATGTGCATCAGCGATTTATTTTGACAGATGACAGAGGTCCCCTCGGTGGCCAGTCCTAACTTCAAAGGGCACGTGCCAATCTAATGTAAATTGTACAAAAAAAACCCAAAAAACAAATGGGTTTTATTGCTAATATTTTGGAAAGTAATAGAGAATTCCGGGTGAAATTTTCGCAATTCCACATTTGTATGTTTCCTTTTTCTTTTCCGATGATGTATATATTTTTTTCCTCAACTTTCTAACAGCCTTACTACTTGCTTGTGATTTCATCTCTTGGGATTCGGATTTGTACCGCCTTGCAGGGCCATTGACGTTCTCTCAAAATTGAAAAGTTTAGATTCTCCCCCCCTACATCAGTAGTGGTGATTTTTGTTTTCCCACAGGATGCTGGCCTCTCCCAAACCACCTCAAAGCAAAAGTTCCCCATCTGTGCTTTGTAAAGGCTGCAGGTGAGACAAGTCGTATCTTTGTTCCTATTTCCCAGACCTTACTTTGTGTATTGTCCGTAGGGCTGCAACTAATGATTATTGTAACTGATTTTTAAAAAAAGCCATCTTTTTTATTGAAGAAAAAAAAATCAAAAAACAGCAGCAAGTAATTACTCCAAATTTGCAGTGCAGAAAATGTATCAACATGAATTAATTAGGATTCGGTTACTGGTCTGGTCCTCGTCATCTGTTAGAAAATAGGCAAAATTGTTGATTGATTTCCGGTGAAAAAAAACAGATGTGATAATTGAAGAGTTACCGATTTTAATGAATGAATCGTCACACCTCTGGCTCTTAATTGCGTGTGTCACAGGAAACTGATTGAGGACGTGTTGAAGGGTTACTCTCAAAGGTGGGAGAAGAGCGAGGAGAACTACCAGAATTTCACGTAAGACGAGCAAGGCAGATTTGTGCAAATGTATGTAAAAGCGGGCATGCAAAACAGCGCGAGGCGTACAGTATATCGTGTCACGGATGACAACTGGAGTCACTCAGCTCAGCCTCTAGAATTGTCGTTCTCAAATGTTGTTCAAGTATCGCCTAAAAAAAAAAAAATGATTGCAAGTCACTTTGACATCATGCCTAGTTTGAACATTAACGTCAAAATATGAGGAAATTGTACTAAAAAGTGGAATGCATTTGAGCTATACTCATCATGTGATTCTTTGAATGACGACAAGAAGTGAGCCCAAGTTCCAGACTTTGAGAATCAACTGCACCAACTCAAGTGTTTGTGTGGGTCTCGTCAGGTCCAAGCTGAGCGACTCGTGTCGAGGGTTCGAGAGGGCCATCGTCACACAGGCCAACACGCCCGTTGGAACCAAACTCGTCTTCAATGGCAAAATTAACAGGACGCTGCGGGTGACGCAAGCCATCTTCAAAACATTGATAAAGGCATGACCGTGTTGTCAACGTGACTCATTTTCCTCACTCTGTCATAATAAGATAAGATAAGATAAGAAAACCTTTATTAGTCTCGCAAATTCCCACCCTTCCTAATGATTCCTTTTTTTTCCCCTCGGCTTTTCATGACTTTTGGTAGTTGTTGACTGTTTTTGACATTCTCAGCCTTCTCATAAACTCATTTTTTTGGTACAAATTTTTCTTGTCACGTGAAAACTTTTTTTCTCTTGCTGCAAATTTTTCATGTTACTTTTTCATTGTTTTTTTTGTAACATTGTGACTTTCCTAACGTTACCATTCTCACCTAATTATTTTTTTCTCAACTTTTATGACATTAAAGTTTTACCTTAACTACGATCTTGCAACTTTTTTTGTAACTTCTCATTGACAGTTCTCAGTCTTGTAACTTTGAAGACTTTTTTTTTTAATTCTTATACGACAACTTTTTCCTTCCTGTCTGAACATTTGAGCAGTTTCTCTCAACTTCTTCCATTAACATAACTTTGTCTCCAAACCTTATGATTTTTTTCTCACAACATTCCAATTTCTTCTCAGCTTTGCCATCTTCATCTCGGTCTTTCTGAAAACAAACTTGACCTTGATGGTGTGGTCATTATTTCCAGGAGCATCCATTCTCCAAAGAGGCCTTCGATACATGCGCCGTGGTGGGCAACGGTGCCATCCTGACGGACAGCGGCTGCGGAAAAATGATCGACTCGGCGCGGTTTGTGATCAGGTGCAATCTGCCGCCTTTGACCGACGGGTACGGCGAAGACGTGGGCGTCAGGACCGATCTCGTTACAGCCAACCCGAGCATCTTCTGGGGAAAGTGAGCACACCTACCAGCCCTCTTTTTGCACATTTTCTGCAAAAACATAACTGAAATAATGTTCGTTGTTCAAATTACGTCAAAACCTTCAAGAACCTTTTGTGACGAGGCCAACATGAAATTCAAGCAGTCCGCTTCACCCTTTCATGCACTCTGTAACCTGATATCATGATAAGGTGTCCACTGTAGTAACCGCTGTCCCTGAAAGGGTTAAGTACACGTGTGGGCTGACCATTAGTAGAGATGTGTGAAAAAAAAGACATTTATTCGAAAGGACCGTTGTCAAGTTTGCGCAACTTAATTGGCAGGAGGGATAAAAGGCTGAACATCTCCGTCATTAGATTCAGCTTGCAATCGGGCCTGAAGGTGGCAGCTACGCACCAGAGCCAACAAATGAAGCTTGCGTCGTGGCAGTCAGCCGCACCTTCGCATCATGCTGTACCGCCCCCTACGGGACTGGAGTGGGAACAGCGGGCAACGACCATTATTGAAAGCTCTGTGTTGTTCCTCCCAGATACAACTCTCTGTTGGAACGACGGCGGGACTTGATGCCAAGACTGCAGAGCTACGGCAAGTCCCTGATCCTCGTTCCCGCTTTCTCTTTCGCCGACAACACGCAGGTGGCTCTGCGGTTGGCCTACACCCTGGAGGACTTCGACAGCCCCTCTCGCGCCGTCTTTTTAAACTCGGACTACCTGCACAATCTGTCCCGCTTCTGGGCTGCCAAAGGCCTGAAGTCTCGGCGGCTCAGCACGGGCTTCATCATGGCTAGTCTGGCTCTGGAGCTGTGCTCCAACGTGCAACTGTACGGCTTCTGGCCCTTCAGCAACCACCCGCACGGACTCCACGCGCTGAACAATCATTACTACGACGACGTCAAGTCGTTGCAGGGGATCCACGACATGCCGGCCGAGTTTGACCTGCTGCTCAAGCTGCACAGTCGGGGCGTGCTCAGGCTTCACCTCGGACGTTGTCCACCGGTTGAAGAGTCGTCATCCAAATGGATAACTGAAGCCACTCATTTACAGTAAACAAAACAAGGAAGACTTTGGAAGTTTGAGCCCGAAAGGTTATTTAATACTTGGGATCTATTCAACTGGAGTATGGAGGAATTCTGAGGCCTTTGAGTGGAATTATATAGTGTTTTTGAAGGTAAATTACAATTCACCTTTTGTCTTTTGGGGCCATTTTTAGAATCAAAACTTAAGTACGTCAATGCAATATAATTAAAATGGGAAAATCCTGAGAGAGAAGCTGGGCATTTTTCTTTAGTTTTTAAAAAAATAATCAGCTAGCGATCAACGTCAGGGAAAGGAAATCATTTAATTATTGTCAAGATGGCAAAAGCACAGGGCAGAGTTTGGAGCCTTGAAGGACGCCATACTCTCATTTGAGTGAGAGTCCCTGAACACAACAGAGAAAAATCACAGTGGGCATAGTAATTAGATTTGGGGGATGTCTTTTTTTAAAAGTAATATGCATTAAAACTCCGTTCAAGGTAAGATTGCCTTTTGTTTTTAAGTTTATATTTCAATTCAAATCTGTTATTCAGTCTTTTTTTTAGTACAGCCAAGCCCTACATATTTATAGCTCAACATTCCCAAATTTCACTATTAATAGATTTTTTAAAAATCCTTTTATTATTTGATCATTTTTGATTTATATTTATAATATTTGCTGTTTTGGGTTTTTTTTGTGTGTGTGTGTTCAGGCCAATAATTTGTTACTTTGGTGCCATCTTGTGGCTTGATGCCAATGAACTAAGTTGGCGCAAGTCGAGGAGCTTCTTTTCGACCAGGGGTGTGAAGGATAGTGGCCCTCGAGGCCCAACCCTGATTTCGACAAAAGTACTACATTTTGTAGCCTATATAGGCAGTTACAAACCGTTTCGTGGACCGAGGCTTCATTTCAGCAATGATTTTTTTTTTTTTCACTGTCTGTGGCGTGGCACGGTCTGGGGTCCTTATCGACTTGGGAACTTTCTCTTTTTCTGATTCTCTTTTGTGACCCGCCCCTCTCACTCCAAAAGACCATGAGAAATTGCAACTGTGACACACTAGATAAAGTTCTCACATTGAGATCATTCCCATTTTTTTCCGTTTCCCACGAAACTGCCAAAAGCTGTTTTAAGACTCTCTTGAGCAGCTCAAGTGTCCCCCCCCCCCAGAGGCCGCCGGCCACTGTGAAGGAGCAGAGTTCTGCAGCCGCATGTCCCAGCGGGTCACAATCGGGCTGCATGACGGCTCGTTTGCGATGCGGGAACAAACATGACATCCCTTTAATGGCCCAACTGGCTCTACGCACGGATCGCGCGCTAATTTTAGATGGCTTCCAATTGCAGGCTATCAGGACGTGGACTTCAAAAGTCATCCTGATGCTCTGGTTAGTTGAATTCATCCAGATGTTTGCGTGTGTGTGTGTGTGTCATACATGGCAATTTTCCGCGGATCCGCGGAAATCCGCCGTTTTATTTCTTAAATTGATCATTTTTGTGAATCGCCTAAATCCGTTGAGAAAATTTTAGGGGCGGTCAGGTACCTTATCGTCGAGTTTTCACGAGCTCTCCCGAACAGTCTCTCCGTTTTCCGTTTGTAAACAGCCCTGCGATTGGACGTGTATGAAAGCTTCAACTAATCAGATCACTGAAGGCATTATTTGTTGCGGAAGTCTTAGCTCGATTATAAACGGCCCAGCGATTGGTTAACTACAAGCGATTGGACCAATCAAATTGCATGTAACATATTGCTTTACCTGATTCATGGCGGCCTGTTCGTCTCGCAAATTCATTGTTCTGGGATCGTTTTGAGCGGAATTATGAAAATTTTGACGATTATTGTGTGTATTGTAGTGACTTAATTAACTATGGCTCCCGTGGATGCGTGGCACTGACAGATCATGCAACAAAAGTGAAAAAACATGCCGACAAAATCGCCATTCGACGGAGCAATTATTCTTTGGGATCGGCATTTTTCAAACAAACTTCGTCAGCGGATACAACTAAAGACGTTACGCGCTGGGGTACTTACTTTGGCTGAACCAAGCAACGAAATCTGCTCCACTGACGCCCCTCGCCGATAGACAGGTACACTCCGATGTATATACTTTTTTATTCAAATATACGAGGATGATATTTTCACTTTTATTTGGTATGCATTTGTAGCAACAGCATGATAACATTTATTTGTTTTTATTTGCGTTTTATATTCATATTGATAATTCACGTTTTGTCTTGGATAATAAAGCACGGTTATGCATAATAAATTGTATGCATAATAAATATTCACTATCACTGTATGAGGTAAGAATCAACAGCTTTTTATCACATTTACACAACACTTTATGAATACAAGTTATGAACAAATCTTAAATATGTTAGGGAATGTGTTTACTTTTTTAGTTTTGATTTTGAGCAGCAAATTTGGAGTTACATATTGGTGCTCACCAGGAATGCATAGGCAAAATTGCACAAATTTTCACTTGAAAGAATAGTGGCGATCTTGGGATTTTTTTCTGTTCAATTTTCAAACTGTGTAAATTTAATACACTTCATCTTCATGTTTAGTGCCACTTTTGTAAGTAACCACGCCCCGTCCAGGCCACGCCCCGTCCAGGCCACGCCTCTTCCGCTTTTTTCATCACTCGCCATTGCCATGTATGGTGTGTGTGTGTGTGTGTGTGAGTGAGAGAGCGGTCCTAAAGCAAGACAGGAAGTGGAAAACCTGATGGAGTGGAAGGTACATTGGGGGATATCACAGCTGGAATATATCATATCCAGTATTCACGCATCCATTTTGAGTTGACTTCAAATTTCACCTTTTGCGGTCTGTAGAGACGCAACATTTTTCTTGTCTTTTTACAACTTATGGTCTTAACTTGACAACTTTTTCTCCAAACCAAATGCCTTCCTCCCCGCCCCCAAGGAAATGTTTCCTCGCATTGCGTTTTTTTCAAGACAGCGCTGACTTGCTAACAATGTCAAAATATTGCAGCTTTAACCATATTGTCCCGAGCAGCCACGACACAAGCTTGTTGTGCATGGGTAAAAGAAAAAAAAAAAAAAAGAACCTTATGGAAATTTAAAATTAGCATATGCCAGGAGTTTGGTAACCCCCCGGTAGACACGACAACGGCATTTTGAAGCCTGAAACAACACAATGTAAAATGACACCACTATTGTTCCCATCTTGAAAGCAGTCAGGTGTGAAAGTTCAAGTGTACTTTAACTGCCGAGTGACACGGCTTGCACAACGGGGATGGGCAGCCTACCGTACAGCCTGTATTATATGTCATCGTCCATCCTTCTCAAGTTTCGTTAGGATGGCGGCTGAGCTGGAAAATTCCGAGTTGTGAATGTATCTTTCACTGACAACAGCGATAAAATCAATTCGGCTTCTGAGCATGTCCCAGTTGACTTTGGTGAGAGAAACGGGATACATGCTACATTCGTGACCAATCAGCGGGCTCTTTTTATTAATCCATTTCAGCCGCCACCAAAAACATTTTTGTTTTTCCATGTCAGAGAAAATTACACTCTTTTTGTACTTAAAACAGAGTAATAAAACAATCAAATAGAATATAAAGGAATTAAACCGTTTGTGAATCAGAAGTTTAATGCTTCAATTCAATTCATTACAAAACAAGGGGTAGGACTAGATAAGTTTTTTACTTCTTCCTACTCCTTTGAACATTTTATTTGTGATGATGACTATTTTCTTTTCCTTTTCGATATCTTGCTTGCCTTCACTTTTTGCCAATTTGTTGCTGTATATTTCATATGTTCAATAAAAAATAAAAAATTCATTCTGCTGCTCCATCTGTTGTGCCTACCTTCGCCGGCAGGGGGCAATGGAAAGACTCATATTGCCAATCTACTGTACATGTGTTGTTCCACTGTTCAAAATCTGTCGCTTAAAAGATTCTAAAACTGCCACGGAGATGCTAATTGTTAGCATGTCATCGGCCTTTTCCATTGTGTGTTAGCATCAAGCTCGCGGGCCTTTTTATATGCAGTTTTAAATACACGGGTGTAATTGACTTCATTTTATGTTTAGTTTGAACCTAAACTATGACTAGCAGTGCCATTAAAGGTCTTGAAGACTCTTCTGCTATTTGTGAAATGTGTTGTTTACTGCGCTCATGCAGAGCATTCGAATGATGGTTGGCATCTCAAGGCAAAATTGTGTCTCATATGAAACGTTTTGATTGCCTTGAAGCAACACACAAATACACACACGGGCTGACGGTCAACCAGACACAAACGAATTGGTAAATTCTGCAGACCAGAGGGTAAAATGGAGGATTAGGATAAGGAGGGGGGGTAGAGCGGTGCGCCCATCCGCGTTTGCTCTAAAGCACCCCCACTCACAAGTTTTTGAGTCTGTGCATTTCCTCTTTTCTGTTTCGTTTCCGCTCCGTGCAGCGCGAGAAGAAGCTCCATTCCGTCCCCTCCCTATGCTCCTCCCCTAGTCAGTGCTGGGTTGAGGTCGGGGTGGGGGGCGGTTTGTCACCAGCCTCCAATGAGGCACCTCTGGGCCTCTCCAAACATGTGTCCCTGGAGGCTAATTAGATCCAGGGCACTCGTGTTACTGCCTGCCTTCTTGTGCCAAGAGGGGATCGAGGACAGAAGGGGACGTTGTGTGGGTGGAGGAGAGGTGGCCCAGGGCGGGGAGGGGGCAGGGAGAACGGGAAGCGAGTGGGGCTAGTGCTTTTTTTTTTTTTTTTTCTGTTCAAGAGGGAGGGGGGGGGGGGGGGGGGTTTTTTTTTTTTTTTTCTGTTCAAGAGGTGGAGATCTTGAGAAGCGGCAGCTTTTTCGCTTTGGGCACGGCACTGAAGATTGATATGTATAAAAAGAGATATTTTCCCGGGCGAGAAATACATCACAAGAGGGAATTTGCATGAAGGGTTAAATTGTTTTCGGGGTGGGAGTAAAGTTCGGAGGTGAGAGAGAGGCCGAAGTAGGAAATATGACAGCACATGGACGTTGGCCCAGAGGTGCTGCGCTCGGCGATGCGTTCACCAGCTGAAACGGGAGGAAGACCGCAAGCCAGCATGGCTTCGGGCATGTCCTTTATGATTGCTCTGCTCTGCTTTGGCAGCCTGCTGTCCACCGTCACCTGGTACATGATTGACGATGAGAGGTACGTCTGTCTCGGGCTGACGAGTCACTGTTTTACTTCCTTTTCTAATATTCCAGATTGTGTGTGTGTGTGTGTGTGTGTGTTGTGGGGTGGGGTGGGGGGGGGGGGTTGACAGAGAGACGCTTCTTTTGACATTTGTCGAGCTTTCAAAAAAATTTCACTCCGGGCCAAATATGCCGGAAGTGACCAATCAATCCCAAGAGTTTGATTTGTCATCGTGAATCGCTCGCTGTTTTACCGAAAAATCGCTGGATCCGAAAAGGATTTTTGTTTTTTATCCAACTGTGCTTGGTCCACATTTCAATTTTATTTTCTCTCAACAGTTGTTTTTCTCTAACTTTAGATTTTTGCCCAACACAAATTGTACTGGCAACGCTGTTTAAAAAAAAAAAAAAAAAAAATACGTTTTAGCTGTACTTTTTTTTTCCTCACAACTTTACGCTTTCTACTCACTTTCTCGATTTCTCGTCACCTTACTTTTTACCTGTCATGTATAAAATATTTTCAACTGTATATCAACATTGACATCTTTTCTGGAATACTGTATCAAGATTTTTTTTTCTCAACTTTGTTTTTTGCCATATTTCGTAACCTTAATGCCCTGACATATAACCCGTTTTTGGGGGCACTTTGGAAATGTCACCAAATGATCTGTGCGGCAAACAAAACATACTATTGTGGGAGCGCTGAGAATTTGATAAAATGCAAAAACACAAACTACATTTTGCACAGTGCAGGTGCAGGCAAGTGAGAACCTGATATCATTGTAGCTTACTTCCCACAATAGGCCAACTATCAAGTAACTGTTTACACAGGGTATTGTGTGGCGGCCCAAAGCAGATTTGCCGGAGTTGAATGTAATGTGATGTGTGTAAAACATGAGCAAAAAATGCAGGGACACAATGAATGTTTGCTCAAATGCTTTCGGAATCAACTTTGAGCACCCCACGTAAAATAAAGAGCGCTCAAAGGGGAGCGGCTTATTTGCCTTTGATACAATTGTTTGTTCCATCTATCCGGTGACACAAAAAAAGCAAAGGTCATAGTAGAGTAGCAGATGATGATGATGAAGAGGAGGGAGATTCGTATTAAGGGTACTGGTCATGATCATATTTTTATTAAAATACATGACAAGAAGAAAAGCTGTTTTGTGTTTCCACAGTGCCGTGGGTTCCTACAAACCGCCCCCTCAAAAGAAAACTCCCCCTGAGCCCGCTGCCTTTTGTAAAGGCTGTAGGTGAGTGTTTGCACTCGCACAAGTGGCCTCTTTGTCTTCGCCGTCATTCGTTTTTTTTGGGGTGTTTTTCCCAGTCAACTTTATTTGTGGCCTCCGTGTACGTCCTTTGTCGCAGGGAAGTGATTGACAACGTGTTGAAGCGCTACTCTGAAAACTGGAAGAAAAACGTGTCGAACCACCGAGCATTTACGTAAGGCGAACTCGGTGTGCACACAAACAAAGGTAATGACGCGCAAAGCAGGCTGATGTGAGAATTTTTTCTTTTTTTTTTTCCGGTCTCGCAGGTCCAATCTGAGCAGCTCGTGTCGAGGCTTCGAGAGGGCCATCATTACGCAGGCCAACACGCCCGTGGGAACCAAGATTCAATACGATGGCGAAAAGCGCAGGATCCTACAGGTGACGCCGGACATGTTTAAAACCTTCATCAAGGTAAGCACCACATTGCACGCATTCATGAATTGTTAAATAATATACAGTAGATCTCAAATACTCAGCACCACCGTCTAGCAGGGGTCCCGCTGGATCTATTAGATATTTTTACCTCATTCGCATATATACTATATGTCATATGTTTCGTCTGTGATTTGTGACCCTCCAGCACAAAATCAAATGTTTTGTTTTTTTTTGTTTATTTTTATTTTTCTACAATATATTGTAATTTTTTTGATACCTTTTCAGAAAATCTCCAGTTTCTTAAATTTGACCTCATGTGATTTGTTTTGTGCTAGATAGTCTAATATATGGTCTTGTAAGAAAAATAAAAACCTAGAAATGAACTGAGATGTCATGAATTCATTCCATCCTCACGTCCCTGCGCGTCAACTTCCAGGAGCATCCGTTCGGCAACAGGTCGTTCGACACGTGCGCCGTGGTTGGCAACGGAGGCATCCTGATGGACAGCGGCTGCGGGAAAACCATCGACTCTGCTCAGTACGTGATAAGGTGCAATCTACCGCCTTTGGGCGATGAGTACAGCAAACACGTAGGCGTCAGGACGGACCTCGTCACGTCCAACCCCAGCATCCTCAAAGAAAAGTAAGCATGCCAACCAATCTTATAACACACCCGCCAGACCGTAATTCCTGCCATATGACGATTCATAACTGTGGTCCACTTCGGATTTTTTTCGGGGGCATTTCAGAAGAGTTTGCCCTTCGGAAATAATGAAAACCTGCGGATAATTTGTTCCCAGGTCAAGCTATTAGCATTCTAAAATGTAACTTTTTAGCTATACGTTTAAAAAAGTACGGTAACATTTCACCATTTGGAATTGTAAATGGAAAACCAAGCTGGCCACTCTTCGTGTTGGAACTTTTCAATTGTCAGCCATATTAAATCTTCTGTCTTTGTCAGCTAGCTAGTTAGCTAGCTAGCAGCTACTAACTCGTTGGAGTTTGAAAATGCCGATCACAAGCAGCTACAGTCATCGTAATGGTTCCGTGGGTTGGATTTTCAATCGTTTGTTTTTATTTGATCAATTAGGGCAACCCTCAGGCTTCACCGAGTCGGGCCTGTTCAGTTGTCGCACGCACATTAGCGTCTTGCGCACAGTGGGAATGCCCGAAGTTTGGACAGGACAATCGATGCATCGGGAAAGTGTGAAAAACAGTTGAGTTTAAAAAAAATGTGTGAAAGGGGAGAATATGGCCCTGAGTTGGTTGATCGATCACGGAGTCACTCACTTTGCTCGTAGCTTGATTCGTTAGTGTGACTGTGCAAATCTTATTTTGTGGATTTCAAGTAAAATGATTTTAGTGTTTGTGTTACCGTCCGATTTGTGATATAAAATCTGTTTTGGAGGATTGAAAGACCACACCTGTAACGTGTCCCTGAGGAGCAGTGCGCAGCTTTGTGATGATGTTGGGATGAGACGCTAATGCCCGCCGGCGTATTTTTTTTTTTTTCCCCCCTTACCGCAGGTACAACTCTCTGATAGGACGACGGCGGAGTTTTGCGGAGAGACTCCAGCACTACGGGAAGGCTCTGATCCTCCTTCCCGCCTTCTCCTTCGGCTTCAACACGCCGCTGTCAATGCGGGCGGCCTACACCATGGAAGACTTCGCCAGTCCCACTCAGCCAGTCTTCACCAACCCGGACTACTTGCGCAACCTCTCCCGTTTCTGGAACATCAGAGGCCTCAAGTCCCGCCGGCTCAGCACGGGCATCATGATGGCCAGCTTGGCTCTGGAGATGTGCTCCAACGTGCACCTGTACGGCTTCTGGCCCTTCAGCCACCACCCGCACGGACTCTACGCGCTGACCAATCATTACTACGATGACAGGAAGGTCAACATCAGGTTTCAGATAGGACGACGGCGGAGTTTTGCGGAGAGACTCCAGCACTACGGGAAGGCTCTGATCCTCCTTCCCGCCTTCTCCTTCGGCTTCAACACGCCGCTGTCAATGCGGGCGGCCTACACCATGGAAGACTTCGCCAGTCCCACTCAGCCAGTCTTCACCAACCCGGACTACTTGCGCAACCTCTCCCGTTTCTGGAACATCAGAGGCCTCAAGTCCCGCCGGCTCAGCACGGGCATCATGATGGCCAGCTTGGCTCTGGAGATGTGCTCCAACGTGCACCTGTACGGCTTCTGGCCCTTCAGCCACCACCCGCACGGACTCTACGCGCTGACCAATCATTACTACGATGACAGGAAGGTCAACATCAGGTTTCACACCATCCCCGTGGAGTTTGACCTGCTGCTCAAACTGCACAGCCAGGGCGTGCTCAGGCTTCACCTCGGATTGCCCAGAGGTTTGCACTGGAGAAAATAAAAAAAAAAAAAAAATCGAAACACTGAAGACTTTTTTTTTTTTTTTTACTTGGATTATTTATTACTACGCGTTGTCCAAATTGAGTCTGGAGAAATTGTTTGTAAAAGGCAATTGTGAGGCCTTTGAGGCGGTTCGCACGGTGCCTTTCGTCAGTCCAATGTAACTTCCTGTAATCTTGTTTACACTTATATTTTTAGTAATTGGCATGATACAGTGTGGACTGATCCCGATGGCAAACACCACAAAATCCTTAGAATTAACTTGACATTATTTTTTTTTTCCAAAAGTAACTAGTGATTCTGAAAGTTATCGCGAATGTCTAGGGTGTGGACCGTACTTCATTTATACACGTGATGGGACAACAATATGATGCGGTTTCTTGTGACAGCACATAACTGCCTGTAACTGCAGTTCTGGACTGGAATCCAAAATACCCGCCATCTTGTCATATGAAGGAGGAAAAGTACCAGGACTGGCGTCACAAGATGTATTTCAAATTCAAACTCAAGTCAAATGCTTTTTCCCAGCATTCTCTGGCACGGCCATCTTTAAAATGGTTCCCCTTGACAACCGACCCCTTTGAACTGAGGGAAAAGACACATGGAGTCAGAGGTCTGCCGAGTCTGCAGGCTACTCCTGCACGCTGATGTTCTTAGCCGGGAAGTGTTGGATGCTCGTGGCGTTTTTGAGGAGCCAGGAGTTGTCCTCCGCCAACTATTGCCTCGAAGCAAATGGCGCGTGATCTCTTTGTTGATGTGCTGGTTGATAGTATGGAATACAGTTTTTGTGACGCCAGTCCTGAAACTTTTAGCAGTCTGTTTTAAGATCAGGATCTTGTTACTAATGTAGTCAAATTATCTTTGATGTCCTGTTCATAGGTTGGCAAGCTAATTCGGGTTGGAAATGCCCATTTTTCAAGTTATTCTAGTTGGTCAAAAAAAAAAAAAAACAGCTAGCCAGCATCATGAACAGGTGGCCTTCCCATTATTCGATATGTAAATAAGATTTTCTCTGATTTGATCGCCGTTCGCGTCGATATGAATATGCAAAATCTCCGATCGGTAGTTGGCGATAACGTCGCGTGTGGCGGCCACGTCGCGGGCCCCGAAAGGCAAAAAGCCTGTATAAACTTTTGAGACGCTCAGTTTATGTTGAGGCTCGCTTAGCTCTCATTCAAAGAAGCAAAAAGCATTTTTAGGACCTATAAAATGATGACTACTTAACGTTACTCATCCATATTTTTGTATCTGCCATTGCATGATATTGATGTGACGTAATGTAATTTTTTTTCACTGTACACTTTTTCCTGTGAACTTTTGATCGTAATGGTTCAACTTCCGGGCTTTTTACCCGTTTTCATCCTGACATCACCATTTTTCTGGGAAATTTGTTCATTTTTTTTCCTCTTCATGAATTCATTCATGACTCAATCTATTTCATAAATGTCCAAATTTACCTCTTCTCATAAGTTCAAATTTTCTCACAAATCTTAAAGCTTTTCCAGCATCCTTATTTTTTTCTTACAACTTTTGATCCCTCCCCCCCAATAGCATTTGGGATTTTTCATCCAGACATCACTTATTAGCATCAGTTTTTTACTTCTTTCCCATATTTGTATTTTTATTTTTTTGTCTCTTTCAACATTACAACCTTTTCCATGTCCCGTTGTGACTTTTTCCTGGTAATTTAACCTCTTTGACTTTTCGAACTTTGATAACATGACAATTTCATTCTCGTAACGGTGGAGCTTTTTACCTTTTTTTTTTTTTTGGTCCATTGTTTATTACTTTGTTGCAAAAAGAAACCTTAAAAGTGGTACTTGTTTTTTTTTCCTCATAGTTGGCATTTGACTTGGGGAAGATAACTGTGAATGAAGCACTTTGGGTGAGAATTTGGAGATTTGGTTTCCTTAATGTGTTCATTGTTCGCGTTCCTATCATTCATTGTTGTCCATGTCTGGAGGATCCACTGGAGGTACTTGTTGAACATTAATCAGGAATAAATGAGCCAAAGTGCTGTATTGATGTGCCCACGCACAATAACCAAATGTCTGATGCACTGACAAGAAAAAGAAAAAACATCTGAGGCACACCTTAATTTTTGCAAATACAAACATTTTTAGTGCCCGATTATGTTCAGAGTCTTGTAAATGTGTCATCCTAAAAACCTTTGTTGTCTAGAAACACATAAGTTAACTATTGTTTAATATGCGCAAATAAAACTCACCCTGTTGACAATGCAGAAGTAGCAGGCAGCTTTTCTACATTCCAAACCATCGTTCAAGTGTAAAAATAAGTTCACAAATTTACCACAGTCTCTTCACATGAGCCCTCCCCTCATCACAACACAGCCGACATATTTCTTTCTTTCATGTTCAATGGTCGTCATGGGAAACCACCAAACTACATAAAAAGCCAAAGAAAAATGGAAACGCACTGAAATATTGAGCTTTGAATAATTTTTTTTTCTCAATCTTCTCAATGGGGGAAATATAGTAAACATCACAGTCATGTAACAAAACAATATCAAGAACAACACTTGTATTCTTTGGCATTTTCCATTTATTTTTCTTAAGAAAATAGGTCTTTTTAACATGCATCTCAAATATACCCATTACAGAATATATAAAAAAAACTTGGCAAGTAAATCGACTAACATGTATTTTTAAAGGCATAGGAAAAACACGCATTTTTTAACGAAGACAGAACCGTCATATAGTTTCTTTTTTTGTTGTTTTTTTTTTTTTCTAAAGTTTCATTGTCATGACGGGAAAGAATGCAGCCTGGCCACATGACAGCATACGGTGTTTGACTGACAGCTGCTTCCGTTAAAGCATTTCCTCCAAATGTAAAACCCACAAGATCAGTGCGGCCGGTTATTGCTTGGCACCTCTCGTGTCTTGATAAACTGATAATCTGTCTTCTGTACTTGGTCGCTACAGAAGCCAGCGACAGGTGCGGGACCTGAAATATCACATGCTTAGGTAGACAGAACGCTACCAATAGATTCAGCGATGGCATGGGAATGCATGCAGCTTGATGCTGGTCACTGAGGAAATATTAAGCTTGTGTCCCACACGTGTAGGTTTTTAGAGAGCCAAGAGTGATGAACCGTCGTGGATGGTAGGGGCCATGGCCCCCTCCCGCCCCCCTCCTCTGCACGGCACTGGAGTCCTTAGACATGCCTCCAAATTATAATCATTGGTCAAAAGAAGAAGAATAAATGGCCTCGGTGCCTCTTTTTTTTCACGGCGAGTGCTCAAAATGACCCAAAATGTGGTCAATTCACACCCGCAATTCGCAGCCCTAGGATTCGCCATAAATGGCTACTTCAAACCAAAATGGCTGACCTCCTGTTCAATTTTGTGCGCGGATCATTAAAGTCCCTGTTCAGTGAAAATAAGTCCTCAAAAGAGAACGGTGATATCAACGACCCTGCCGAATTTGAATGACTCAAATATAATTTGTTACGTGCGTGCACTCATGGGCAACAACGAGGCACTCTAAAGCAGCCACACAGCATTCTGAAGCCACATGTCAGACTTAAAAAATACTAAGTCCTGGTCCCCTTGCTCTTTTGTCTTTCTTTCTGTGACGTGCGTGCACTCACAGCCAACAATGAAGCGCTCTAAATTGGCCCCGTCAGCAAACTACCCAAAGAGATGATGTATTGCGGTGCCATGTGGAAGATTTTTCAGGTTGACATGCGCTCGGTGCATCACCTGGCAAATGACATTTTGCCGCCCATTCAAGTTTTTATGTGAACCCGGTGAATTTTTGCCCATAGGACCGCGCCCTCTCCTCCCTTTGCACGCCACTGACGCCACAATCAAGTACTACATACCTCAATCTATGCATGTTTTAAACAATTATCTTCAAACGTGTATATTGTCTTTTGAAACAAACGTTAGAATTCACTTTACAGATTCTTTAAGACTTTTCATGTTTCCTGTTATGAAGATGATATTCATAGGGGCTTTTTTTTTTTCTTGGGGTGCCACTGGTTGACTTTGAGAGGATCCATGTAGGAATCATACATTTCTAACGGTATACACACACACTCGCAAAATATTGCTGTGTTTTCAGGCCCGTCGAGGCCTCCAAAAAGGCAATTCAGCCGTCCGTGCGGTTTTAGCTCGGAGGGCACCTGAACGCACCTTCTTTGGAATGGATGTAAATCATCACCTACAACCCTGCATTCTAATCTCTTGCTGTCTTCTATTGAAAGCCAGGCCCGAGTGGCGCCTTCCCTGTTGGCGGGTGTATCTTCTCATGCTTGTCTGCCTTTCATTTGCATTCGCCCAAGCGTTGAAACTATGCAAACGCAAGCTCGTTTGGGGGCATTCTGATGCCATGTGGCATTCGGGCGGGTCTTCTCCAGTTTTACCCTGCCCCTTACGGAAAAACTCCAAACGGCCTTCCGTTTTAGCCCCGGATGGTTGATAAATTCCTTTTTACTCTCAAGACTTGATACAAATAAACGGCCCTTACACTTTTTCTTTTAGGTTTTACGATTCAAAACACGACGATCATTAATACTCACACAGTTTAATCCATTCGAAAACAGTTTCTGCACTTAAAAAAATGGGGCGGGTAAAAAAAAAAAAATCCACAATTGTCCTGATAAAAACAGCCCCCCCCACCCCCCCAACCCCCCGCTTGTTGTTGTCACACACATACACTGTAGAAAAAAGAAAGACGAGTAACTTTTACAAAAAAAAAGGTTGGTCTCGACGCAGGCGTTTGGGGTAAGCATGGCCACGGCATTCCGACGCTTGGCGCGGAAAAAGTCACACAAAACAGTGTTTGGTCTCGTTGTTTAAAAAATGGCTTTGACCCCCCCTCAGAGTTTCACATGAGTTTGGATCAATATGAACATTTCGGATCCATCGCAGGTGCTGCCGGGTGCAGCGGGAAGCATTGGCGAAATCGGACTGCACTAATCTCAGCCTCCGACAGGGGGCAGTCAGCTGCCAGGCGTGAGAGAACAGAAACGCACGGGAAGGAAGGTGTGCAGTGTGCACACCATGTTGCTTCCGGACATCCGAGACATGAAGGCAAACGATCGTAACACGCATGTGGTAACGAACAAACGCGCGCACAGACATGAGACATCAATGTGAAATTTATTGCGAAGGGGAGATGGGACACTGATCCCCTCGCTTGATGAGAAAAAGTCACCGGCGTTGGTTTTATTGCATTTTTTTAATATGGCGTCATTGCTTCAATTGCGATTCAAATCAGATTAGGATCCGGTTTGTGTTCTCACTGGACAATTTACCCCCCCTTCCAAAAAGGCAGGTAACGAGAACAAACTTTCGGGGAATGCGACACAAGAATGACAATGTTTTACAATAATAGCCCAGACGAAAAGCCTCAGCTGCATCGTCTCGTACACAATAAAAAGTTTGTCCAGCTCGCAGGATTTCTCAAAGGCAGGAGTTTTCAAACTTTTTGGCTCCGGGGGGGACACATTTTTCCCCAGACCCGCTCATGATCCCATCACCAATTAAACAGAACTACGAGGTCAGCGGTGGAATAAATTTGAACACTCTTGCTACTCGTCTGTAGTCACAGAATGGATTAGGTCCTGAATACATGAAAGAAATACCCATATCCATATCCATCCATTTTGTAATCCGCTTTATCCTCATGAGGTTTGCGGGTGTGCTGGAGTCGGCTCCAGCACACCCGCAGCCGTCTTCGGGCAGTAGGCGGGGCGCACCCTGAACTGGTTGCCAGTCAATCGCAGGGCACACATAGACAACCAGATTATTATTATTATTATTATTATTATTATTAGCGCCGCCTACAGGCATGAGGGTGTTGTTAACCCCCCCCCCCGACACACACACACTTTTTCGACACCAATTCTTCACACGGCCTTATTTTTATTTTTTTAAATAGCGTTGCAGGCTTCATCAGGTGTTATTGTTCGTATATGCAAAGCAGGCCGGCGCCCCTTCGAAGGGGCCCTTGGAAAAATGTGTCCCCTGAAAGGAATTCCCTGGACCCAAAAGGTTTAGGAACACCCGCTTAAGGCACCGGCGGTTTTGAACTCGAGTCTGTACACCGCATACGCATCTGAGTTAAATCCATACGGAGGGCTTTCCCTCCCCCGATTTGCTGCTGCTGCTGTTGCTACTGCTGCCCCCGCCGCTGCTCCCGCCCCCCTTGCCGTGCTTGAGTCTGTGCTTGCGTTCTTTGTGAGGCTGAGTCTGGATAATGTTGCTCTGGGGTTTGTCGTCCTGGCTGTCGGCGAGGTGCTCCTCGGCGCGGTGCTGCTGGCTGTAAGCCTGAATGGCGGCCTCCAGCTGGTCGTGGGCCTGCTGAATCATGTCCTTGTTGATCGCCACGCGGGCTTCGCCTCCGGTGGGGAAGTTGTCTTCGTTGCTGCCGAATTGCTGCTGCTCCTCCTGGGCGATGTTCGCCCGGTTCTGCTTGCACGCCATCTTGGCGTTGCTCAGGTCGGTGTAGGGCATCTGCTCCGGTTTCACCACGATGTTGTAGCCGGGCGGCGCCGACGGGGTGTTCCAGGAGAACGGGTAGCCGACGTAGTCGGCCGGTCCGTCGCCGCCCGCGTCGCCTTCGGAGCCCACCTCCGGTCCGGCGCCGCCGACCGAGCCCTCGCCGCCCACGTTGGTGCCCAGCAAGCCCAGCTGATACTCGTCGTCCGGAGGCGGGCAGCGGCGGCGGCGTAGAATGTCGCAGATGGAGCCGATGCCCAAGTGGAGCATCTCCCAGACGTTGAGCGTCAGGCAGAGGACGGTGACGCCGTACATGATTCGCAGGAAGATGGTTTTCTCCGTGGGCCGCGACACGAAGCAGTCCACGCTGTGGGGGCAGGGCTTCCCCGAACACACGAAGACGGGCATCACGCGGAAGCCGTACAGCAGGTACTGACCCGTGAGGAAGCCCGCCTCCAGCACCGTGCGGCTCACCAGTTGCAGAACGTAAACCCGCATCAGCCCCTCGTCTCGGATGCGCGTGCGGCCGTCGTGGCGGATCTTGGGTCGGGGCGTGGGTTGCAGCGGATCGCGAGGCCTTTTGGGGGGCTCCATCTCCGGGACCTCGTAGATCATGGGATCGTCCTCGCGATCCTCCTCGGTCTCCTCGATGCCGCGGTGCTGTCGCGCCCCGAAGCAGATTTTCCTGGGCTTCCTGTGCGTGTAACCCCCTCCCCCGGCGGTTCTCACCGCGGCGGCCCCAGCGCCTCCCTTGGCTTCGTCCAGCCGCGCAATCTTATTGACCGCGTAGCCCATGTACATGAGGGACGGCATCGCCACCAGGATGATCTGGAAGACCCAGAAGCGGACGTGCGAGAGCGGGGCGAAGGCATCGTAGCAGACGTTCTCGCAGCCTGGCTGCCCCGAGTTGCACACAAACTTGCTCTGCTCGTCGTAGTAGATGGACTCTCCCCCGACGGCCGTGAGGACGATACGGAAGACGATGAGCACGGTGAGCCACAGCTTCCCCACGAAGGTGGAGTGGTTGTGGATCTCCTCCAGCAGCCGCGTGAGGAAGCTCCAGCTCATGGTGTCGCTGGACAGTGGGGCAGACAGTGTCCCTCTCTCACCTGTTCACAGACTCTGGGGGAAGCGGGGAGAAAAAAAAAGACGATAGCATGAGGACCAATGAGGACACTCCGTAGCGTTTCAGATTCTGTACTTTAACGTCAGTAGCTTCACCGTCCACTCATTCGAGTGTGCGACGACGTTTGCGCACGTAAACAAACACGCAGCTCTGACCAATAAAGTGACCGCTAATGCTAGCGCTAACCCAACACGAAAGCTGTCAGGGCCGCTCGGAGCTACAGAAGCCGAGGTTACAATAGCGGCCGAAAAGACGCCGCGATGCGGTTGACTCAAACGCATTTCTCAGCAGCAATTTGAATATTTTCATTTTGGTTGCGACACAGGTGTCAAATTCAAAGCCCGAGGGCCAGATCAGACTTGGCAGATTATTTTCTCTGGCCCACTAGAGAATAATAAAGTAAATTTTTATTGCTGCTACATTGATTTTGTTTCATTTTAGCATAAATCCGCAAATCGCAAATTTTATTCACTTTTAACTCATTCACTCCCAAAGACGTTTTTAAACGTCTTTTCAGACTTGGTCTAGAATTGGCTGGTACTGATTAGCTTGAACCGAAATTTATTGACCAAACCTGTTCTCAGGAAACAGAAAAAAACAACAACGGTTGTATCCTTAAACATTTGCTTGCCACAATTATCCCTAACTTCTGATTTCAAATTCAGTTTGTTTTTGACAATATGTGTGTCATGATTCAGTTTGTGACCAACAGGTGGCACTGTAGGGTTCTCCCTGCAGCTGCACACCTGTTGGTCGTTATGTGATTAATACCGGTCGTATAAAAGGACTCCCGGCACGGCCACTCGGTGTTGGGTTATTGTTGCTGTTTCTTTGCTGCTGTCATGTTTGTTCTGTCATGTTTAGGTCATGTTTCTCCGACTATTAGTTTTGAGCTTCTGCCATGTTTGATACTTTGTTTTGGATTTAGTTTTCTCGATGTTTTAATCCAATTTGTCAAGGTCACCCTGCTCCTCCCTCTTGCCTGCTTTTTAGGGTCCACCACCACCTCGCAACGTAACAATGTGCATGTTCAATTGCATTTAAGTAACAACACGATGAGCTGGGTTTTTGATTTATAAAAATTTCACATTGCCATAGTAGCTATAATGTGCCTGGTGCTGAAAATAAGTTTGACTCTGCCTGGTTTAAGAGGTTTTTAGAGGTGAAGTCATAATTCCATCATCAAACCACCCCCCCAAACCCCAGCGCGAAACCTTTATGGGATCTGTTGCTCCTTGCAGCATAAACAGGATGCACCGAAAAGCTCTGTGTCACTTTGAGGCTGCTGTCAAGTCGCCTCTTAAAGGAATTAAACACTGCTGGAAAGAGGATATCGCTATTAAAAAATATAAAAAAACACCACCGTGCAGCGGCAAGAAGAGAGAGAGGAAATAATCCAAGTCGGGAATTTCCTACCCCCAAACACACACGTGCACACTCACACTTTCTATCCTTTTTTTTTTTTTTTTTTGAAGAAATAAATCCTCTTAGAGACCCGTCTTCTGTATAGGGTGCAGCTCTCAGGGTTGTATTAGTTTGAGAGGTAAATGTCATTGTGCTGTGCTTGTGCTGTTGCGAGGCGATGTCTCCAAAGAGCGGGACGTGTTGACGATGCGGATTACTCCAAAGCTTCGGGGTTCTCCGATCTGAAGCAGCCGCATCAGCAGGTGTCAGATACAAAGCATCAAACATGCATCGAAACGGCAACGCAAACACCGGCGGCCCCCTTCGGGATGCCTTTGGAGGAGCAAAATATGACAGCGCCGCAGGAGTTTTCTTTTCCCCGAGAGGACACGGTTTATTGCCAGCGGGAGTGCCAAGGAAAATCCCAGCCTGAATAGTGGCGGGGATTTAAAAATATGGGCTGCCGGGGTCCGCTTCCTTAGCCAGCAGGTTGAGAGCTTAGCGAAGCATTCAAGTAGGAAATACACCAGTCGGTGCTCACAAAGGTTCAACTTCAAAACATCAAAACCAAACAGGGCTGATGACTGCGAGGAACTAATGACACTGCAAATTTGAAAGAAGAAGAAATGAAAACAGGAAATAATTCCACCGAGTCTAGTTTTTGCTCAAGATTATTAAATGTCAAAACCTCTTCAATCCTGCTTTTTATGCCTTCAGGTATGACTGTATGCTCATTTTATCATGTACAGCTTTGGGCATGATTGTTAGCAACAAATAATATTTCTTGGGTGAATTATTTCTTTATTGCAGATTTGACTTCCTGAGGTTGTGGTCTGGAACGTAACCTGCATGACAGAATCATGAGTGGATCACGAAGATTGTTTAATATTAGTTATTTTTCAAAGAGGAAGAAGAATATATCCTCGTAAGTAGTGTTAGATTATCTGTCTACGTGTGTTGCTCCACCATTTGCATTCAAATATCCATTGTTTAAAGACGTCGAAATACACAAGGCTCTTTTTTTTGATGTTTAGTTTGACATTAAACTCTTTTTTGGGGGAGGGGCTAAATTGTTCATCATTACACATCAGTTTTGTGAAATTTGCCACTTTTCTGGAGTGCGGCACGATCCAAAGCCCCCTGTCTTCACATCCTCGCTTCCAGTCAGAGGTGGTGAGGGAATGTTTTTCAAGAATGCTTGCGACGGTAGCGTGTGCATCCATCACCGTGACCGTATAAGGACACGGCCGGGATGCCGCTGGAAGGAACATGTCAGGAATCGTTTACGTGTGCGCTCCCTCGGCTCGCACTGCCAGGACACGCTACAAGTTGCGAATTGTGATACACACACACACAAACACACACACATGGAGAATCCATACTGGTCCGTCATCGTCTTTCCATAACGCCTTGTGAATTGTCTTTTTTACTGCAGGCCGCAAAAGGTTAAACGGCTCTTTTGATGTGCCGGATCCCGCGCGCACAGAGTGACTGTTAGGACCAACATCGAATGGCAGGCAATTGGTGCTTTGATGTGTTTAAAATGGCCGCATTTTCAAATTATGCAAATCTTTCCTATCCGCTGTCACATTCGAAACAGTGACAGGCACAGCGGGTGATTTATTTCCAACCTAAATTGTGTCATTCCAACACATTCTCCTACAAGGTCACTATTTTCTTCTCAGGAATGAAATTTTACATATATATAGTAAAAAAAAAAATGGATGCCTTAATTCAGTAACGGTTGGGAAAGGCTGCCTTAGACATCAACTCGTGTCATAGCACCTCCTGACCAAAGGAGGCGCTGCACCCATTTATGCTCGCCTGCTGTTCTGAATACTTCATCCAACCTGGCATTTTGCTTTCACATCCTATTTGCGTTTGTGTGAGCTTGTGGGGACAGTCAGCGGCTAAAGAAGCTGACTCAGCGTGTCAAGTTCGAGGCGGTGTGAGTCAGCAAGGCAAAAGTAAGAACAACAAACGCAACACAACAGCGACCGCGGTCCTCTCACAGCAATGTGAACATCAATTTCATGGCGCGGGCTTCGGAATGCACAACCGGGTTGTCGCCGGGTCAGAGTGGCGAAGAGGAGGTGATCCTGGACTGAGTCACCGTGACGACACAGGAGGGGGTAACAAGGAGAGCGCGGCAGGTACGAGTTTATTTTGCTCAGGATGAAACCCAAACAGATTTGAAAAAAAAAAACAGGCTTGTTGCCGCTAAACAATTTGTCTAGTTAAATATTTCAAATGCCTGCCAGGCTGTGTTACATGCAGAAATATGTACATATGTATGCGCGCTCACGTCATGAATAGACGGGCAGCTGAGGGGCAGTGCGGATCATAAACGCGGTGCAAATGGTTGTTAAGAAAAACTAACGAGACCATGCCAGGCTAACGGCTTCATTAGCCTCCGCTTGAACTTGACTCGGGCATGCGGAGCGTATTTGACAAAATGATGTTTAATAAGCTATTAGGAACAACAATTTGTTCACGTTCAAATGTGTTCATGTTCGCTTTCCGTTCGTTCGTTTGTTTGTGTGTTTGTTTATTCCTCCGGCGCTTGCACGCTTGCAAGCTATTAGGAACAACAATTTGTTCACGTTCAAATGCGTTCATGCTCGCTTTCTGTTCGTTCGTTTGTTTGTTTGTTTGTTCCTCGGGCGCGTGCATGCTTGCCGGACACTTCATTAGGTACACCTGCACAATCAAAAACGACACAGGTAAGAATGGAGTGAATATGTAGATTATTGGGGGTGTAGCTTGCATCGATTGTGCCACTCTGAGAGCGGTTTGTATTTTTTTTTTTTTTTTGGGGGGGGGGGACAATATATGACTCTTACACACAAACTACTCCCTGACTCGATATTAATCAAATTATTATCATTGCACTGCTGTGCTCTGCTGTCACCGTGGCAACGCTTTGAAGGATTTCTGTTTCGGTAGATGATGTGGTCCAACCACTTCTTCGAGTGAAAAATTTGAAATGGTCAAAATGTAAATATGTTTTGGTATAAATGATGAAAATCTAACGTAAGAAATACAAATTGCTATAAACAATTCAATTTCAATTCTGGTTCAATGAAATGTCAACTTTCAACAACTTTTTTGACGTGCAGAAAAGCAAAAATCACCAATGCACTTTCTCAGCCAAACTTCAAAGACAGACTGTAAAAAAACAACAAAAACAAATTGACCCGCTCCAAGTTGGTCCGGAAAAAAAAAAGCATCCCGAGAGCACTCTCATGACGATAAACATCTCAGCTCTTAACACTATTTATTTTCCCCCCGTTTCAAGTGAGTGCAAACATGTGCAAAGACTTCAAGTAACCAGCGTCGATCATGATTACGCATCCGTGAAGCCTCATCAGCTGGATGTACAAAAAAGGGGATGAAAATGATAAAAAAACGCAAACAAACGTCAACTTCTAAAGAAATGAGCTGACCCACCGCTGGGAACTTGTACACTGAAAAACGTGTGTGTCCTTTTCTAAGAGATGCGGATGGCGCACGTGTGCCTAGTAGGAAAGTCAAAGTTGCCTCATTAACGCAGTCCGAAGGCAAAAAGTGCCTCCATATGTTACGGGGGGGG